TATTCCAGAATTGTCGCCCGGAATCGGTCTTGCCACAACCTCGCCGGAGAGTGGCCCGCGATCGCGAGCCTTCGACCGATGAATTCCGACACAGGAAGCGGCCACCCGGGAACGTCCGTCGTAATCCGTGGTATATTTTGGGACGTGAATGGAGGGACTCTCGCGCGCGTCTAATTGCAAGTTGAAAGCTCGATCACCTCGTCAATAGTTGCATTTATTTCATTCGTAAATATATGTATGTATCTATACATGACAAAGCCGAGTGAACGCTGAGGAAGGTAATTAATCACGAGCGGCGACTCGCCGGAGCGCGACGTTCTATTTATATGTCATTGCCATTCGTTGCGTGTACTCGATGCATACGCACGCGCGCACGCACGCACGCACGCACGCACGCACGCAATAGGAATCGGACGCGCGGTCAGCAGCCTCTATCGCGAGTTCCACGCAGTTGGATCGTCATTTACGTTTCCCATCGTACTACGCAGGAACGGTAAGAGAATGTCGAAAATTCGCTCTCAGTTTCATTCTGCCGAGACAAAGGTTTTTAATTAAGGAGATTAACTCTCACGCACATCAGTAATTCTATGGCGAGTACGGTGCGCGAAGTTCGAGAGAGAAAGAGAGAGAGAGAGAGAGAGAGAGAGAGAGAGAGAGAAGGAAAAAAGAGAGATAGTACATTTATTGGTGTTCTAGGGCAAGCCCTCTAGAATCTTACAATTATAAAAGCAAAGTGGAAATGTGTGGCGAAAAAAATATGTACAAAAACAAACAAATAATCAAGAAAAAATAAAGCATTTTACAAAAAAGATATAAATGTTAAAAAGAGAAGAAAAGCAAAAATAATTATATATATATATATAAAGTAAAAGTATAAAAAAAACGAACTTCAAATTGAGAAACTTAGAAAAAATGATCAAATCGAGGATATAAAAAAAGAATACATGAGATGATAGTCGTGCGCAGTATTGCACACAAACGTAAGTGACTGAGGAAAGAGAGAGAGAGAGAGAGAGAGAGAGAGAGAGAGAGAGAAGCGCGACGAGAGGAATAAGGCCAATATTACATGCGTCCGTTTTTTGTCGTACGACAAGCTTTTCGAGCTCATTGATTGGCTGCAGGAAAAAGATTCTCGGATCTCTTTGTCCTGCGGTCAATTAACACGCTTGAAAAATTTGTCGTACGACAAATGTAATATTAGCCTAAAGGTAAATTTTCACGAGCTGCTCAAATCGGCTGTTTCAGCGACAAAAGAATCACGTGATCAAAATGGACGCTTAATATTCGTCAATTTTGACCACGTGATCCTTTTTTGTCGCTGAAACAACCTGTTTAAGCAGCTCGTAAAAATTTACCTTAACACTGTCCGGATTTTCAATGAAGCCACAAACGATTGAAACGACACATCGTCAACAGTATCGCATCGGCGACGAGCAAATACGGTTGCACATAATAACATTGCGCTTATCACCGATCAAATTAATTAATCAAGCGCTTAACGCCGCTCGAAAATCGATATTTGAACGCGACATTTGTACCCCTGCGAAATCGTCGATGTAAGACGCCGTGTCGATCAGTGTTTCGGTAATAGCACAATTTTTTTTCGATGCATTTCCTTTTAAATAGTCGCGATTAATCACTTTACGAATACACTTGTACATTCATCAATTCTCGATAAGCTTGCGATAACGTTACGTTTAATAATGCATTTATGGTAATCGATATATCTACGATAACGTAATGTTTATTTGAGTAATATGTGAATAGAAAGCGATCGCGATGGAAATCGTGAAGCGAATTTTTTTTGTTGTACTAACCCGCGATCGATCGCCGCTTTATTTAACCGCCTATGGAAAACTCATGCACGTGGCGTCGATGAAAGTTTAATGGGAGATCGATCTTGCGGTTAGCAACCTATCATCCGTGCAATTTTTCAGCGAGAAGAATTAGCGTATGGACTTTAGTCCTCACGAAAGAATGACGCGACGAAAAATACTCGAAGATACGTACACAGTATAAAAAGTTTTGTGTTTTTAACACATCTCACATGTCCCAAACAGTCCACCCAAATTTTTGTGTTAATTTAACATAAGATGAATATGTTAGAAAGTAACACAAATATTATGTAAAAAATTAACACAAGAAGCGTAATACTTTGACACAATTTATAAACAAATTTTATGTTAAATTGACACATTTATAATGTTAAATTTAACTGAAATTAGATGCTATTTTTACATTTTTAGTTTAGGCTTATGATATTTAACATATGCAATATATAGATTTAACAGATATTTATTGTTACAAAGAGAAAATAACACAAAATATCTATAAATCTTTTTACATATAAAATATATAACTAATTGTACAGAACATATTTCTTCAATAAAATTAACATTTATAATATTTTGAATTAACACATTTTATTCATTTATTCTTAGAATTTATGTTTTAAAGCTACATTGTTATTTTATGTTATTTGTTTACTTACTTATAAATTGTGTTATTTTAACACTAAGAAAAAATGTTAAATTTTAATTTAACACATTATTCAAATAACACAATCACATTATATGTTAAATTAAAACTCTTCTTCTTCTTACATTAGGCCTCTGGCCTGTGTTACACGTCTCTCATATGCTTGTGGTGCGCACGCTGATTATTCAATTGCTACGAGCATATGGGACCTACAGTTTTAATGCCGGTTCCGAACGGCGAATTTACGAGAGGTGTTTCTGTGGGCAAGGATACTCTCGGGAGGTTGCTAGTTTTTTTCAAGAGGAAACACGAGCGTAAATATTTTGGTTCCTACTGGAATCGAATCCGGGACCTCTGGCATGATAGACCAGTGCGCTGTCTGCTATGCCACACTCGCGCTCAATTAAAACTCAGATATGTTAAAAATTCAACACAAAAATTTTAACAAGGATTCGTTTTAACATAAATACAAAATGTTTTTTACTGTAGGGGAACATGGTGTTCCTTTGACCGGTTGTACCTTTAACCATTTGAATTTATAAAAAATCTATTGGATATTTTTAAAAGTAAAAATATGTAGTTTGTAGTACGAGTACCAGAGGTGTTTTATAACTTATAATTATAACAATGAATAGAATTATACTCCTGCGAAAAATCATTTATTGTTTTCAAGCGTTCGAATGAAGTAATTTCAAGACGCTTTTTAATCTCATAAAATGTTGTATATGTATTCTGTCTTATGTTGAAATTGTCTAAAATATTAAATAGATGTTCAGAAAAAATTATTTAAAACTTAATACTGTCAATCTTAACCTATAATTTATAAAAGTAATAACAAATAGAAAGTAAGCAAGCGTTGTACCTTTAACCAGTAACTGATATTGTATGCAAGCGGTGTACCTTTGACCAGTCAATACGACGTCGGATAATCATTTAGTTTAGCTATCTCACCTCCAATGTTAATAAAATTATGCTCATTAGACGCCATATTGAATGAAATGAACGAAGGATACTATTTTTGCCAGATTCAATCGTTTCATGCAAAAACGAAAATCGCGTCTTTATATGGCAGTTTATTTTTATATATTTTATATATAAAGTTGTATATGGTGTAAAAAGACATTAAAAATATAAAAATATAAATAAAATTAAACTTTTGTTGAATATCTTATCTTTATACACACATTTTATACATTGGTTAAAGGTACAACACTCCCTGGTCAGAGGTACAACATGGGTGTTGTATCTTTGATCAAAATTCAACTTTTTTCTATTGTAAAAAAAGATATACAAAACATAACAATTTAAATCTATAAAAAGTATATGTTACTGTCAACACTTCAAAGAATACTTTAGAATTTTTTATAATTTTTAGACATCAAAATACAACTTGCACAAGAAAAAATGTCAAAATTGGTCAAAGGTACACCACCTTCCCCTATAATTTGATTATAATTCGTCGCTTTTTAATTAAATCAGTTCTCCTTCATGAGTCTCATTTACATATAGTGCATAATAAATAAATGGGTAATGAATTTTTCATAATTACTACGTGTCTACACAAAGGAAGAAAGAGAGAGAGAGAGAGAGAGAGAGGGAGGAAGAGAGAGATTTCTTTAGATCTTTTACGTTATACATTGAATCAATATTTCTGTCATATAATATCAAAATAGTGCTCAATAAAACGTCTGTATATTGGAATATCGTAAAAATTGTTCAATATATGTACCTCCGAATGTTTCTAGCACAAAGAATTTCACAGAATCTTTCTACGTCCTTACGTCAATACTTTGCGAGTTCAAAAGGGAATTCTAGAAAGAATATTCGACACGCAATCGCCGTCCCTTTCAATCCCAGTTCCGAATGATGCGCATTTCATTTTTCCGCGACAAAGATTTGACGCCATTCTTTTCTTATCCCGTTCGCAAAGCAAACGTTCTCATTATTACAGCTGCATGACATACGTAACGTACTACCCGTGTAGCACGCTCTGTATAGAAGTCACACACCGATCCGATGCATTATTATTGGATTCACCGGACACTAGATGTATACAACGATAATACAAGAGATGTATGGCCGGCCGCCTCTATTGTGGAAATTCGCTAGCTGTGTAAAAGACCCGACACACAAGTAGCTCGATATCCAATGGCTCGTTACAAATGCGCGACCTACAATTTGCCAATATTTATCTCCAGTTGTACGCTTTTCCGACCGACGGAGAAAAACGATTTCCGCAATAGTGATAACGTCGTTATATCAAATTTCGCGCCATATAAAAGTTCATGCATTTTAACAATTTATGACAATGAGTATCGCTTCGATTTCGTAGTAATTATAAGCGTATGCGAAAACTAATTAACTAATTTATAGAGTGATTGTTCAAGTCTCCGATTAAACGGTGATGGTAGTGATAGTGGTGATATGGAGTTTGCATAAAATCACGCTCACCTTGCTATGCTAGAAATAATAGATAAAAGAATAATAACGAATGCCTCGATATGTTCGACCTGATAACGCAGGTGGGGTCGCGTCTGGGGATGCGGAGGGATCCGTGCGCCGCATGCGGGTTACCGGTCTTCCTGGCGGAGAAGCTGCTGATAGCGCGCGCTCCTTATCATCGTACCTGCTTCCGGTGCGCCCGTTGCTGCAACCAGCTGACGCCGGGCAATTACTACGAGACCGAGGAAGGCCAGTACTGCTGCGAGACGTGTCCGGACGAAGAGGAGACTGACAGCGTGCGCCACAAGTACGCCGAGTCGACGATGTCCGACACAGAAAGAGAGAAGAATGAACCGAGACCGCTTAGCGACGAAGAGAAAACGGAGAGAAAGGTCAGTTTTTGCGTTTTAAATTTGAATAAGTATTCGCGCTGAAGAAAAGTTAATTGATGAAGACAATAGTAGGGATTACACCGGGCGAATGAGAGTACAGCGTTGTTGATGATACGCAAATGAAGATTTTTTTTTCTCCTTTTTCCACTTCTTTATTCCAAAAAATTAGACGTTTTAACTCACTTTGGAGTCCTCCTCGGCAAATACATAATATATATTAGTCACTCCTTTGTGTGCAAGAGATGAATCAAATAACAAATTGACAGACTTGATGTAGTAAATCTGTTAAGAGTTAACTTTATTATAAATGAAAAAATTTTTTTATTTGACAAAATATATAATTTGATAAGTGACTCACCCCGACAAACAAAGTAGCCGTTTATTAATTGATGAAGCTTTATTGTGTGTGCAGAGTGTACTGGAGAACGCAGCGGTACCCGATTTGATTTCTCATACGTCGCAAATGCGCAAGAGCTTCATGACCAGTCATCTTCTTTCCGAAAAGTTCGAGTCTACCGCGAAGGATACATTCGCGAGCACGAAAAGCGATTCGGATCATCGTCAGGAAACAAACAGCAGGATCGGCTCGGCCTTCCCCGACGCCGACGAGGAATGAAGAGGAGGAGGAAGAGGAGGAAGGGGAGGAGGAAGAGGAGGAATCCCATAGCTCTGTAACGGATTCCCCAGATATGGAGGAGTCTAACATTGAGCGATACGATGTACATAGCGCGTTAAATAGCTTAGATATTAGGAGCGACAAGGATCAGCGATCGACTGCCATTTCATTCCATGACATAGGTAAGCAGAGAAGAGAGGATAATACCAAAGAGTCGCCAGGATGCGCCGGTGAACGTGCCAATCCCGAAACAAGATTGTCATTGGTTCAAAAGAGACTTCAAATGTTTGAGAGTCGGGACAAAAGGGATCACGTCGATGGAACGGATCAAAGCAAGAAAAGAAATCCAATGGCTCAGAATATCACAATGGTTCAAGGCGACTCCTGGGACCTGTCACCGGATGTTCTTTCAGCGAATGAGGAAGAACGACCGGAAAAGAGGCTCGAGGAAGACTCAATAATTAAAAATACTGAAAAATATGAACATAAAGACAGCTTCGAGAATGTCGGCAAACAGCAAAAAGAAGACTCGAAGATTACAAATAATGAGGAGAACTTTTCGAAAGACTTTGTACGAGTGAATAACGAAGATCGTCTTAATAAAGATAAACCGCACGAGAATAGCGCAAAAGTTCAAAGTATTGAAAGACGAAAAGACAACTTTACGAAGATCGAGAATGAACGATTCGAAAACAATAAGATGGATGAGGATTACGAGAATGCCATGGGAAGCAGCGTGCTGACCGCGAAAGGCATCAATTTAAGTGATAATGGGAATTATCCAGAAGACTTGAATCCTTTCAAGAGCGATGAAGAAGACAACGCCGCAGAGGAGGATAAACTACGGACTGTGATAAACAGCTCTAAAAACAATAAAGTGTCGACTAATCCATTCGACAGCGAAGATGAAGATATCGAAGAGCCAGAACCGCCAAAACCGGCGATAAGAAATAAACCGGAGAATCGAGGAACGTCTATGACAAAGCGGGTCCTCGCGGCGCCACAAATTAATCTTAATCCATTCTGGAGCGACGAGGAAGAGGAACACGGTAGCGACGAGGAAAGACGAGATAGAACACCATCTGGAAATGTGCCTGTACCGAAACCGCGTACCATCAAGTACGTTTTACTTTATTTCAGCAAATAAATGTATGCAAAAGTGTATCGCGACAATTTTTTTTATCATATACACAGGACTACTTCCGAAGTAAATGTTGTACGGAGAGTCGACTTAGATCGTGGAGGCTTGTACGCGTCTAATAGTTCCTTAACCAGCTCTGAATCAACTACAACTCCCGGTGGAACGTACAGGAAGAAAAAACCTGCGCCGCAGCCACCGGTCGTGAAAGAATTGTTTCCAGCTAATCAGCACGAATCGCCTATACTCAAATCGCATAATAGCACATTACCCTCGTATCACGTAAGTCTTAAGACGTATCGTTTCTGTTTTTGGATTTAATTATTTTTAGTCTATCATCTTAGATTTGACACTAAAAAAATTTATTATATAATATATATATTATTATATATACATTATAAAACATATTATAAATCTCAAAAAAGAAAGCATTCATCATTCGATTCTCTCTCGCGGTAAAGGATTCATCACCTCGCACAACGCCACGAGCTCGAAAAACCAAGCCGGCTCCTCCACCGCCAATGCCAACCAGCACACCTTGTAACATATCGATTGGCAAAGCATTAAGTTTAGATGAGTCTCCTATAATCAAGCTTCGTGATGATGATCGTAACTTGAATATGTGGGAAGATCAAAAGACAAACAAAGACGAGGCGAATCGAAACAGACAGAGTTTGAGCAGTATCTCATGCACCGATTCCTCCTATATGTCCTCTTACACTGATAAAAGCGTGCAAGGAAAGTGGAAGAGGAAAAAGGGTCCCGCCCCACCGCGACCAATTCCGCATAGGAGAAAGGTAGATCCTATCTTCTATCGTAAAGCATGTTTGTTACATAAACTTTATACAGATTTTTTTTCGCATAATTTTTTTAATATATTAAAATTAAAATTTTTGATAAATTAAATTTTTGAAGGAGTAAATAAGAGACGAGATTATATTATTTTTAATTACAGATTAAAGTAATATCTATGAAAGACGTGAAATTAGAATTAGATGAAATAGAATTACAACAGCAAGGCTTAGAAAGACAAGGCGTGCGATTGGAACAGTTGATACGAGATAAATGCGAATCCGGACCTAGAACAGACGGTAAGGAATGCCCGCAATAAATAAGAAAACAATGTATTATAAAAATGTATAATTAACATTTAATTTAATTGATAGATTCGTCACTCGGTACAGATGTGGAGGAATTGGTTTTAGAATTGTTCGCATTAGTAAACGAAAAGAATGAGTTGTTCAGGAGACAGGCCGAATTGATGTTACTACGGAGGCAACAAAGATTAGAGGAGGAACATGTTGAAGTAGAATATCAAATACGATGTCTCATGTGCCAACCAGAAGCTACTAAAACGGACTTCGACAAACAGAGGGAAGAAGCATTGATACAAAGGTATTTTAGAAAAAAAAAACTTTAATAAAATGTTAATAGAGCATATAAACATGTAATTACATGTTTTTGTTTTTCTTTAGGTTAGTAGAAATCGTAGAGAGAAGAAACGAAATTGTCGAATGTTTAGAGATGGATCGTCGAAGAGAGGTAGAAGAGGATAAAAGCATAAATAAACATATGGGTTTATTCGCTGGTAAGTAATGTGATGATGTATTAATACAAAATATGATGTAAGCTTTTATTTAAATTGTCATTCATCTTAGCGAGGAATAAGAACGAACTGGCAAGCAAAGGCAACGATTTTTCTAATGCAGGGAAAACAAAAAAAGGAAAAATAAAGGAGAAAGTAAAAGAAAAGAAGTTGAAAAAGACCACAAAAAAAGATGCCGACAAGGATGTGGACGAGACTGAGGTGAAACTCAAACGCCATGGCAAAAGAAAATGGTTTTGAGTTGCGATAGTGTTAACAGTTAACGATTACGATATAGATGTAGAAAATATTTCATATTTAATACTTTTATATATATTTTTAACACCTGTTATTTATATATATAGGAATTTATGCTAAGATTATTAATAAAATCGCCCGTTTAATTGCTCCTAATTGCTTCCTAATTGTGTTATTTGTAATTAAATAAACTATTTGTTTAATTACAGATGAATTAGCAATATCACAGTAAAACTTTTGTCAAATTTTCTGAAAAATCTTCAATATCCGAACAGGCGCGTAAATCAATTCTATCGACATAGTCCATCGTGGCAAACTGCATTCTTCAAAAGCAAGATCATAATTTCCTAAAACAAATTCTATTTATTGGTATTTAGATCATCTCTCAATTTTTAATTTAGCAAACGTAAATTACAATCAAAATACCTAAATGTTCCAAAAACTGTGAAACAGTATCTTCATTACGAATTGTTGCAGCGAAAATAGCATAATTGTTTGATGCTAAGAGGCGCTTTAATCCCAATGTTAATGCACTGAATGAGTTGCTGTCATATAGAATATCAGCGGCAATAATTATGTCGAGTTGCAACGAATCTTCTGACATATATTTATCAATATCCTTCCATTCCAAATCTATTACTTGAATGTTGGTTTGCTCGTATTTTAATTGCAACTGTAGCTTTGGCGTCGTATCAGATGTATTCAATTCGCTTCGCTCATTCGATAAGAAATTGAGTTTTACATTCTCACACAACATGTCTAATACTATTGGATGACAATCTGAGAAAATATATTGTTTCGGGGAACATACACTAATTATACTCATACCAGTCAATCCAACTCCACAGCCAAGTTCTAATACTTTTTTTCCACAAAACTGTTCTTTGTTTTCCATACACCATTGACTCAATGCTATGGCACCCTGTCAATTGTAACGATTACAACTGATATAAACATATAATTCAAGGAATTCTTAAGAATATTCCCTAAACAATTTGAGTAATTGTAATAATGTTTAGAAATTATAAAGAGATATTTTAAAAGATAAGTACCTGCCAACTACACAAGCCTGTAGTTCCTTGAGAGATCAAGTTTGTGCTCTCCTTTAATGTAACACAATTTAATGTTCCATTTTGTATTAAGAAATGGCGATAATGCACAGATTCTTCATCTGGCAATGATATTAGTCTACAATATGCTGCATATAAATCATCATAAATTTCATTACCACTTTCTTCTATCTAAATCGCATATAACAAATAAGGAAAGTGATTCTATATCTTCTAACCTCTGTGAAAACAAATTACACATTTGATATTTTAAATATACCTTTTGCATAAATAATTTCAAAAATGCTTTCTGATATGAGGTTTTTATCGGATATCGCTTGATTAAGTCGTTATTTATCGTATTATCCAAAATTTGTTTTTGAATGTTTAATTTGAGGTCATAAGTTTTGTATTCCTCCAAAACCTGCAAGGAATTTCTTTTATCAAATTTTCGCTATATAATCACAAAATGTGGTAACAGATTGTGTAAGTATATATAAAATTGATATATGTACTATAAAATCCATTTTAATTAATGCAGTACAGCAGAGAAACTGCTTCGTTAAAGAATTTATCATGGAATTTACGATACGAATATCGCGATTCATATCGTTATTGTCCATGCTATCCATTTGATTTAAAAACAAGTTTTTACAGAATCACACACGCGCGAAAATCGTTAAAATTTCATGTTGTAACTTTTTGCCAGATGTCTTTAGGGGCTGCGCTCAATCAAAGAAATAAGGAGAGGAATAAACTGTGTGTTTTGCAGTGTTGCCAGTATTTTAAAAAATAATGTCGCCTAAAGGCCATCACACGTACAAAAATTTTAGTTGTAATCATAAGATCGCAAACAAATCGGCCAATCACAGTCGAGCGTTTTTAAATGCGAGATCGTAATTTTGATTGTGATTGGTCGATTTACTTGCGACCTTACGATTACGACTAAAATTTTTATACGTGTGATGGCCTTAATTCATGGCTCGTGGTAGTTGGTAGCCCAAATCGCCTAATTCATGGCTCTTGGTAGTTGGTAACCCAAATTATCTAAATTTCCTAGATTTTCTAGATTCTCTAGGGTTATGTTTCGATATTCACTGCCAGTACTGAAAATCTATAATATATGTATACTATAGATTTTCAGTACTGGCAGTGAATATCGGAACAGAGCTAGATGTTTTGCACTCTCACCACAGAACTAGAAGCAGTCTGCTAGAAGTCTCCAAAGTCAATTTCAGATCTCGATGGGTGCATTCAGAATGACAACGGCTGATTGAGCATTCAGTGAGCTCTTTCATTTGATTGGTCTATATTTTAGGATCTAACAGAATATGCCAATCAGAAGAAAGAACTCATTGCGCCCGCCCGACTCAGTGAGTAGTCGTTCTGAATACACTAGTATAAAATTATATTTTTCAAGATTGCCGTACTAAAAGCAATTTTTTACAAAATAAATAGAGATAGCCCAATTCGCTTGTTATTATTAGTATCGGTAGTCCAAAAAGTCGCAAATCGCAAATTTCGAATTTCAGTCGCAAATTGGTCTTTAAAGTAGCCCAATTTGCGATAAATCGCCCATACTGGCAACACTGACTGTTTTGTACAACTCAGAGAGCATTTAAGGCCATGGCACATGCTGAATTCACACTGCATCCGATTTTCGTCGTACGATGCTCTGCAACCAATCAGAAAACAGGATTTCGATGAATTTTGCTTCGTATTATCGGAATCCTGTTTTCTGATTGGTTTTCTGAGCGTCGTACGACGAAAATCGGATGCAGTGTGAATCCAGCATTAGGCTCTGTTCCACAATTCATGGTTAACCCCGGATCTACAATAGGGTTTTAAGCCTTAAGTCATAAGAAATGGACGAATCACAATCCATTATTCCCCTCGGATTCGACTGTAATTGGTCAGTTTCTTACGGCTTAAGTCTTAAAACATCTATTGTAGATCCGGACTAACTCTTAGCCGAGATTCAACTTATTCATTGTCTCTTTCTAATTTTAGAATTGAAAAGAGATGAGAAACAAATTGAACCTCGGTTAAGAATTAACCGTGAGTTGTGGAACTGGCTCTTATTGTAGAATGCGTGTAAGGCCGGAATCAGACTAGGCATTGAAGATTGAGATTGAAGATTGAAAGATTGAAATTTGACCAATCAAAACAATAGGAGCTAAAATTCCTTTGCCCTCATTGGTCAAATTTCAATCTTCAATCTTCGATCTCAGTCTTCAATGCATAGTCTGATTCTGGCCTAAACGTTGCTCAAGATTCGAGATGGACTTAAGCTAGTGCATAAACTAATCAGAGAGCCGTATTAGCATCTTAAGACATTGCTTGAGATTAAGGCCGGAATCCATGGTCTGGTCTTAATCTTAAGCAATATCTAAAGATACTAATACGGCTCTCTGATTGGTTCATACACTAACTTAAGTCCATCTCGAATCTTGAGCAACGTCTATGGATTCCGTCCATAACTTTGTAATTTTATAAGATATTATAAGATAAATATTATAAACAAAATTTACAGTTAACTTGTTTGAATATTCAATTTCGTTTATTAAAATTCAACAACTTTTATTTATGCGGAGTCTACGATAGAAGTCATAGCGGTCGTAAGGTCTTAAGTCGTAGAAAATTGACCCTACGACTGCTACGACTTCTATTGTAGACCCCGTATTACATATGTAGGAGATGCGAAATTAAAATTTTCGTTTTAGAACTCATTAAACTATCCTTCCTATGGATAGTCGGCACGCTTCTGAGGATTTAGTACAAACACAAACCACATCTACTTTCGACGATATGATTTTATCGATAATGTCAGAAAATGTACGTAGTCACGTAGTTCCCAAACTGAAAATGGATGTGCTGGTGGTAGTATACAGACGATTTCGATGGTAACAGGAAAAAGGTCGGCATGATTTCTCTCAAGAGCGCTGTTTCTATGACTGTTTTACAGGCCTACTGACAGTTGTTGATGGATTGCTAGCTGAATTATGAGACCTGGGTCCCTATTCTTGAAAAGAAACGTATACGAAAACCTAAAGGAATACTGTAATGTACGTTACGAATATTGTAGAATTTCCCTAGTTTTTCATATACGTTTCTTTTCAAGAATAGGGGCTCAGGGCTCCTATTTTTGAAAAGTATCGCGTACGAAAAACTAGGGGAATGCTATAATATATGTAACGCATGTTATAGTATTTCCCTAGTTTTTCGTAACTGCGATACTTTTCGAGAATAGAGGCCCTGTCCTTTTTGGCTGAACTTTTGCACCAGTTCATCTTTCTTCTTCTTCTTTCCTCCTGAAGAGAAAAGGAAGAAAGATGAACTAGTGCAAAAGTTCAGCTAAAAAGAA